AGATTTTTGTCGCTAACGGCACTGATTTTTCCGGCAGATGCTTCTAGCTAAAAGAATTTCAGACTGCCCACCAGGACTGTTAGGAAACATCCCCTCAAAATTCCAGTCTTCTGGCTTCTCAGACTCCCGAGTTAGCGATTTACCCGAAAAAAATTTTGGCGAGCCCGTACGCCGGTACCACGCTTACTCGGGGCTGGGTTTGAGCTGATTAATACCTACTTGGACGGAGAACGCCCCCTTAAAATTTCAGCCTCCCAACATTTCTGGTTCCCGAATTAGCAACTTACCCGTAAAAAACTTTGGCGGGCTCTTACGTGGGTATCACGCGGGTAAGAGCGCCCATTTTGGAGATTGGGGTCCGTACATATATGTAGATTAAGTTCTCAAAATTTCAGCCCCGTAGATTTTTTAGGACTTGAGATGAAAAGTCGGTACAGACGAAAACACACACACATACACAAAGAGACAACCCCTCGTCAACGTGCGTTTTCTGCACTGCATAGCTGTCAAAAACGCCAAAAAATTGTCAGTATAAAAGCGGTACCAGATTGCTCTCGGGCTCCCATGAATTCTCCGAATCGCCATAGCCCAACCATTTCAGCAAAAACTCCGTCACCTTCTTCCGCTTGTTGTAACGTTCCGCGAGTATCTTCTCGACGATGTAGGTGCCCTCGTCCTTGCCCGAGTCGCTTCCCCCTTCAGCGGCATTCCGTTCCTTCGCATCCATTTCTGCCGTACTTGTCTCACTCTTGCTGGACCTTCTGCCCTTCTTGCTCCGCTTCCTCCCTGTTTTGCCTCCTTTGCTTTTTTCCTCTTCAGTTCCTTTTGTACCGCCTGTCTCACTTTGATCTCCCTCTGCTTTGCCCCCTTCGATTTCTGCCCCGTTTTCTCCCTCACATATGTGGCCCTCCTTCGTTCCTTCCCCTCCTGCCTTATTTTCCTCCCTATCCGCCTCGTTTTCTTCTTCTCCGGCGTCTTCCCCACCCATTCCTGAGTCTTCCTCCATTTCCATCGCAGCCCCTTCCTTTTCTGTGGTCGTCCCGTCCTCCATTCTGCCACCCTCTTCTGTCCTGTTTTGCTCCGCATTTGTCCCAGCTCCTTTCTTTTCCTCGGTCATTCCGATTTCCATTTTGGTGCTGTCCCCTCCTGCCCCGTTTTCCACCCGGTCTGCCCTGTTTTCCTCTCCTCCGCCAGCTTCCTCATCCATTGTTGGGTTTTCCTTCGCTTCCTTCTCAGTGCCTTTCTTTTCCTTGTCTGTTTCGTCCTCCACTTTGCTGCCCTCTTCTACCTTGTT